CCTCCATATATCCCATTATCCCCCTTTCTGTTCTAAGACATTAGGCATGTTTCTGGCCTCCCGTGTGACTGTGAGGTATGTGCTTACTCACAGATGAAGGAGCCTAAACTCTGATGTAATCCAGGGGAAACAAGGAAACGAGAAGGGGAGGGGGACTACCCTGGTGGTAGGTAATCCAATCCCTCCTGGTGCAATTTAGCAGCTCAAAACAATTACTGACTGGCTGCTGCCAAATCAGCACCAGCAGCCAGACAAAAGAGATGTAGACTTGGCTTGTTAGTAGACACTGATGTAAAGTCAGATTTAGTAGGCCACTACAGAGGGGAAGCTAATCTGGATCAGGGTTTGGTAATGTTATATTTGCTGTTCAAACTGAGGTTGAAAGCCTCTGCAGATGGCACAGTGTGGGAGACAGTAGAAAAGCCGGGTCATTGAGTCATAAAGAGGTACTGTCAGTCAAACCCACGGATTAACCAGCCAGAAATATGCCCCTGAGGTGTGTGTGTGTGTGTCCTGCTCTTCCCACCCACTGTCACCCAATCAGGGGCTGATTAAAGGGGATTGCCTTTCCTGTGACATGCCTCTATCTCTATGCCCTCTTCCTGTCCCACAGTTGTCCATCGCTCTCGCCCAACACCCTGTATATGGGTGATAGTCTGTTTTATGTCTTAGCCATCACTATCTTCCTTCAGTCATTCTCTTCCATGGCATCACTTCTAATCCCAGCTCTTTCGCGGGTCATTGGCTCTTTTCTCCATGACCGTCTCACCTATTGCTCTCCAATCATCTCAACCCATCCCATTGCTTTCTTTCCTCTTTTGTGATGTGTCACATCCCATCCTCGTCATCACTCTCAGCTTCCAACGCCACTGTCACTATGTTTATTGTCTCAGTGTCAAACTTATGTCTGTCCATGCATCCTGTTCAATCCCCTCCCGTCCCACTCTTTGTCGTCATCCCCTTCTTTTCGCCCCAGTGATTGTCCATGTGCCTGTTGTTTCTGGGCTTTTAGTCCAGTCTACTGCGGGGAATTTCCTTCTTATCGCTCACTGAGCCATTCCTTGCATTCCTGGCATGCTTCCTGGCACTACCGGGGGTCCAGCCAGATGCAATGGCGTCTGCAATACAAGGCAGACGCTGAGGCCAACTGACACCATTCATACATCCAGCGGTGACCTTCTGATGAGAATGGATAGTGTGATTGATGAACAGAAAGAAGATGAGGAGCCAGGGAGAAAAGGGAGGGGGAGACATAAAAAGACAGCGGTGGCAGGGGCGTAATGATAATGCGTGTGAACTCTGTGCCAAAAATAGAAAATTCTGGATAGCTTTCATTTCTAAGTCCTTGACTCACAGACTGTTATTGATAAAAGAAGACATGTAAGGCATTTAAATATCTCCCGACAGAGCAGTTTGTGGCTAATTGGGAACAGCAGGGGGTCAAAGTGCACACAAACATTGGGAACAAGAATAGAGAGATTAGAATAACTTTCATGTCATTCCTCTTAGTCACAGCCCTCCAAGGATAAAGGTGGCTTTCTAACTGCACACTAAACAAAGCTTTTGTGAGTTCCCACAATGAACAAAGGTCAAGAAAATAAAACCGGAGAGACAGTGGGGTGACAGGTCGTGCGGATGTACGAGAAAAAGATGGCTGTCAAACTCAGACTTGCCAGCTGGAGATAATGATAATGGTGGTTACGAAGAATGCACGCAAACACATTACTTACATATCTTTCACTCACTATTCCAGAGATAAGATAGTGTGTCCAAGAAGTATGAGGGATAGATAGTTCACAGTTTATATAAACAGTTACAGTAAATGTTTTCTTTCCACATGAGAATGCAAAAAAACCAAAACAAACTGTAATACAACAACTGAAAGAAAGACAGTGTTTCTTCTGTGCCGTGTTTTCACCGCTTTAAGTCAAAGTCACTTCAAACCAAAGCTGACATTTCAGTGAACTTGAAGTTCGCCTCCCCTCCCTGTGCGGTCAAAGCACAGCCTACTGAATGTGGAGAGAAGTCGTTTTGATTTACAAACATTTTCAGATGCACTGCCTCCAAACTGTTGTGCTCAGCTCCCCGATCCCCGTCCGCACGTTCAAAACATAAACAGTGACAACATGCGGATATGAAATTTCCTTTCCAGTGTTTGCTCCTAGTTATGATGAAATTTACACACTCTGCACGGCTGACGCACAGGAAGTGGACGGTGGAACGACGGTAGAATCAATACAGCTGCCCATGTGCTCTGTTATAAGTTGTGTTATCTGCTATCATTGTTGTGGGAGGTTGATTTATGATTGCCATCGTGTAACAAGCGTTAATTTAATGAATAGCGAGTGATGGAGGGGCCTGATGTGCGTCAGCATTCACAGAAACAGCCAGGCCATGTCAGGTTAAAGGGGGTAGTGGGTTGTAAATTGTTTTAAATGCTGGAGTGAATTGTCTAACAGACGTAAGCATATGTGTGTCTGTGAGCCTGTTTGTGCGTATGTGTGTATGTGTGTGTCCATCTCTCTTCAAAAGGCCATCCTCCCCCCCACCCCCCACCCATGTGACTGAGGTCACATCACGTTGACAAAGTCACTCCGTAGGGCAGACTGCGACGTCACACAAGTCCTCTTCCTTTTGTCTTCCCGCTCCCCTCACTCTTTCCCGTTCTCTCTCCAAGCCCCGCTGCCCCCTTACGCTCACACAGCCCTCCCCCTTTCCCCTGAGAGTTTGTCAGCAGCTCTCAGCTTCCGTAGAATAACACAACAACAGACTCAGTGTGTGGCTGACGCAGACGCATGGCGCGCCGGCAAGTAGTGGTCAGCTCTGATACAGTATACATCACTCACACACACGCACAGACACACACAGATGTAGTAACTCTCTACAGGACAGTGCGAAGCTGACAAAGGAACAGAGAATGCACAAGTAATGTCTCCCGGATAACTATTCTGCACGCTGAGGAATGCACCAAAAATAGCACCTCGCTTTCATTCTCCTTTCTTTTCTCTCTTTTACTTTTATGAAACGTTCTGTGCAGGCTCACTGGTGCAGAGATATTGCAGCCAGGTGATAAAAAATAATTGTTTACATGCACAAGCTTGATTACATTGTTTAAACCTTGTACTGTTTATATTTAATTGATCCTGTGCTCCAGACTGCACTGGAGAAAAACAGAGAGACTGGGAGGAGAGAGCGATGTGGAACTGAGTAAGTGTGTGAAAGAGAAAGTAAGAGGGAGCTGAGGGGAAGCACTTTGAAAGGAGGAAGAGATGGAGAGAGAGGGATGCAGACAGGACACGCAATGACAGGGGAGGAAAGAATGTTTAGGGCGACTGAGAATGGCGGTGAGAGGAGCGGGAGGGAGAACCGGAGGAGAAAGCGGGAGCTCTGAGACAGGCCTGGGCTCTCCAGTGTATTAACACCAGTCTGAGATGGAGGGAGCAAGCAGGGTAGATGGAAAGAGTGTTTGCACAGTAAAACGTTCCTTTTTGCGTGGGTTGCTTGCTTCCCGCTGTACTCCCCCCCTCCCCCTTCCTCTTCTCCTTCTCACACTCTGTCTGTGACCTATTGCTTCAACTAGTTCATTCAGAGATTTCCTCACTGGCAGACGCAAAACTGCTTGGACGCAGTGAGAGGGGAACGTGAGCAGGTGAGCAACGCAGAGTCAGAGAGGGAGAGAGTTTCGTCTGACTCTCGCTGTTACACATGCACGCATGCACGCACACACACGTACACTGTGTTTTGTCACATACCATAGAGTTTGGTTTCCAAACAAAATGAGCCTCGTAAATGTGTGTTTAATAGAGAGCTGATTTAAACATTTTGCTCCCCCAGTTTCTGCCGGGAGAGACGTTTGCCTCATGCTCTCCCTTTCATCCTTGCATCCTGCCCTTTGCGCAGCTCTATGAGCTGAGCCAGTGGAGGAAACCTGCAATAATGATGCTGGTTAATGTCCCCCCCCTTTAATGGTCTAATAAAAAGGCAAAGCAACAGATGCGCAACAGCCATATCTGCCTCAAGTGGGCAGCTCACATGAAAAAGGAAGAGAGCAATTGACACGCATAATTAGTAAATCACGTCCATGGGGAGCTTTTCTCAACTAAAGGCTCGCCAGTGGAGGGGAGGTGGAGGGGGGCTTGAGAGGAGGGTCTCTTGTCATATATCCATTTGAAAGAAGACAACAGCGCTTTAACACTGATCACTGACAGTGAGAAAGAGAAAGTCAGAGACGTCACTTTATTGCCCAATGACTCCAGCCCCCTCCTGTGTGTCACTATTTCTCCTTCCAACCCCCCCTGAACTATTAACACACTCACTTGCTCTCTGACGTAGGTTGGATTAAGGGGGCAAGCAGAGGGGAGAAGGGGGTTGGGGCGATCATGGCGGTGGGTAGTGCGTTAGGCTAAGGTTACTATGACAATTCCCCAGATAGGATACCCTGCCGGAATCACGCACTTGGCAGCGAGCTGGAGAGAATGAATGAGGGACAGAATGACGGAGTAGAGAGGAAGAAGAGGGGAGGTGGAGGAGGTCATGGGGAAACATGAAAGTATCCTGTTATAAGAGAGTAAATATTAACAGTAATAGGTCGGACCTTTGGTTTTCCCTTTGAACGCAATCGTTGCGTTTGTTTACTCAGGCCCTGCTGGAATTCCCTAGAGGAAATGAGGGTGCAACATAAAAATGATGAATTTATTACTACTCCTTCTCCCATAATCCCTTTTACCATCGGAGCAGCGTTGCGTCACGGCCAACATTTGCACTGTTTACATATGACACTCGTAGGTAAGCAGAACATGAGACCCTAAAACCCACATGACTACTTTATCTTCCACCTGGACATGGAAATTAACCCACGCAACAAACATTTATGGGAAAACCCACATTAACAGAATGGGCTGATTTGGTATTTGTTCTCATAATCAAAGTACACCCCCAAGCACACTAAAGTAAATAATGAAAAAAGTCCCCAACAGTCTATTTTTGCAAAAGCTCTTCCTTGTAAGATAAATAAACTGTGAAGTATATTATACTAATACTCATTCTGAATTCGTTTAGATCAGTCTTGAAAGTGACTTTGGCGAATGGGAAATGAATCGTGCAGCTGTGTGGATTAACAGCCTGGCAAAAGGTGAGCGAGGAGTGTGAGGCGTTCAAATGATTTGAAGCCTGCGTAATAATGTGTGAATACATGCCATGGCGCACAGGAAACCCAGTGTAAAGCATGACCGAATTGAGTGAAGCTTGTGTGAGTAAAGTTTGTCTGGCAGTGAGGGCTGGCAGGCCCTGTCACAGGTTCCCCTTCCTCTCTGATGTCTTTGAGGTCGTAGTCTGAGTGTCTCACTCTGTTTCTCCTCCTATGGTGGTTTACACAGATTGGTGATGTAATGGGTAGCATATGAAGGCCACACACAAACATACACGCAGACGCACACACAAACACTGATGCTCATGCACGATATACAGACACCGCACTTATACCACCACATACCCATAATTACACACATATACTGTATGCACACCCATTTACACAAACCCTGGATTCCCCCTTTTCCAACAGGCCAATGTGTGCTCGCTTTCTCATACACAAAAACAAAAGTCTAAACAAAGATACAGCTCATTTTATTTTGCGCACTGACATCCATGCACGTGCGCACACACTCCCACGGACGCACACACACACTTAAAGGGCACCCACCCGGTGTCATGGTGTGTGAGTGATCAGCGCTGGCGGATGGCCTAACAGAAGACTGTGTGCTTCAGAACCACCCAGGAGACCCCCATCATGAGAGGCAGCCCAGAGAGGGAATGAGGGAGAGTGACTAACTTCACTTTTTCTTTTCTTCTCTCCCCAGCTGTGTCTTCAAACGGCCCTTTGATGTGGGAAATTAAAAAGAGCGAGTGTGTCAATATCTCCCTACGTCCAACCGCACTCATCTATTTCCTCCCCTTCTTCTCCGGCTCTCCTCCTTTGCCTGCTTTTCTTCTCTACTGTTGACCCGAGAAAACAGAGTATGACCCTTTTTAACCACAACAACTCCGCCACCCACTCGCTGCCACCAGGCCCTCATCATTTGGAGGGTGTTTGTTTGTCTGTGTAGGCCCACCACCGGACTGGCAACTCTGTGTGTATAAGTGTATGAGTGTGCGACTGTGCGCATACAAGGCCCACCACTAATTATTTTCTAACCACACCATGAGTGTATGTCTGTGAATGAGGGTCTCCTAATCTCACACCCAGACTCAAAAACGCTTTCTTCCTTTTCTCTGGTCTCTCTCCCTCGCACTCTCTCCCTTTCTCCCTCTCTCTCTCTCCCCCTTTGTTTGTGTGTGTCTGTAGCCAGCTTCCCACCCAAATGTTGCAAATATTCTAACAAAACTTTTTAGAAAATCAGCAAAAGAAAATGCGAATTTATTGGCGTTTCCATCCACTACAACAAATATTAGGAGTTGGTTCATCGAGGTAGGCGGTGCGTGGCGACGACTCTCCAGTCAGGTGCCGTTATAAAGTTGCAGAAGAAGAGGGCACAACGAGGTGACGTAATTAATGTAGTCAAATATCAAACTGTGGGGGAAAACATGATGGAAATATGGCACTGATGTTTGTTTTATGAGGAAGGTTACATCCTCCTCGTCGCTCCACACAGATCTAATGTTTGTGCACCTATTTACTCTCTGATATACAGTGTGTGTACAGTATGATGCATCAACTGTCCCTCTGTGATCACTGGAAACTCATTCTTGCCCCTTGCAATAGTAGGCCACGCTTTACTGCACCTGACAGAGTGTTTCCAGACTGCCCCGCTCTACGTGCGTGTGTGTGTGTCTGTGTGTGTGTGTGTGTGTGTGTGTGTGTGTGTGTGTGTGTGTGTGAGAGAGAGAGAAATCATGTTGATGTGTGTACAGTAGACTTGTTATGTTTCTGCATGTATCAGAATGTGTGTTTCTGAGCTAGAAAGTGTCTTTTTGGCATGTTATGGTTTATTACAGCAGCATGTTTTTCTATGACACTATCGTGTGTGTGCATCCATGTGTGTGTGTGTGTGTGTGTGTGTGTGTGTTGACCCCATCAACCACCCCCCACCTCTCAAGCGTGTGTCTGTGTTAATGTCCTGTGGTGTGTGTGTGTGTGTGTGTGTGTGTGTCCGCTCACTGTTTCTATGCAACACTTTCAGAGGCCCCTTCTGGTCTGGACAACACCTCTCTCCTGCTCCTATCCGTCTCTCACTCCTCACTCTTTCCTTCACCCTGGAGAGGGAGAGAAGAAGTGAAAAAAAAAGAGAGGAGGTGGGTGGGGGGGCAGTGGAAATAACAGGCTGCTGTCTCAGGAGGGGCTCTGAAAAAAAAGAGAGCAAGGGGTGAGAAAAGGAGGGAGAGAAAAGGTGTTTGCTGTGCGTATTAGTTATAATACAGGGAATGTGGTGTGTGTAGCCTAAAAGAGCCCTGCCATAAATTAAATAACACAGCAAGAACACACTTTCGGTGACATTTCACCCCCTTGAACACAGCACACAGCCTCTCACACCAACAAGCACAAGAAAAAAGAAAGGGCAGGTAAAACTAGAAGCTCTAAAAGATACATGGTTACATGAGATATGCTGATACACATGAAAACAATGGGCTTTTTAAAACGTCTGCAGTGATAGAGAGAGACAGAGGGGAAGAGATTTGGAGATGGGAAAGATAAAAAGAGGTAGATGGGACTGATTGGCGCAGGTAGCGGGATGCGACGGAGGAAGTGCTGGAGATAGCGACAGGACAGGACGGGAGAAAGTGATAGAGGAAAGAAAAAAAACAACGGAACATTTTTTTTTTTTTAAGTTCGCAAAGGGAGACAGGCAGCAGGGAGGGGAGGAGGAAAGAGAGAGAGAGAGAGAGAGAGAGAGAGAGAGAGAGGAGGGAGAGAGAGAGAGAGAGAGCGTGTGTCTCTGTGTGTGTGTGTGTGTGTGTGTGTGTGTGTGTGTGTGTGTGTTTTTATGAATGAAGTGAGTCACTGCCGATGTGTCATAGGCCCGACGTCTTTATAAAGGAAGTTTTAAACAAGCCTAAACACTTCACTGCGCGCAAAAATTGGACTTACCACACTCGCATCCCTCTCTCTCCATTTCTGTTGCCTCTCTCTCTCTCTCCAAACTGTCCAAGTGTCTCTCTGCCTTCAGCACTGCATAAAGACTACAGGGGCTCATCTCAAACTTTAACCAAAAGACAGAAAGTTTGACGATATTGACTTTTACTTGACTGACTTTTCTTTTTCTCTGACTTTCTCTCTCTCTGTGAGTGCTTCAGTCATCACTCTGCTCTCTCATTCATCTCTCTCTCTCTCTCTCTCTCTCTCTCTCTCTCTCGTCCTGACAACTTTCCTCCTCACTCTGACTTGAAGAGTGCGAAGAAGGGAACCGGAGCACGTGACAATTTCCGGAGTTCAATTTATTTAATAATTTTCCACTTATTTATTTATCTGCGTTTGCTGGTTCACCCCATCTCTTGGATCCGAACCAATATGAAATGTAAGTGTCTTGTGTGAGTGTATTTTAATTCATAATTGCTTTAATTGTTAATTCATTCTTTTTACAACTTTGTTTTATTTTAATTCTATAGGCATGCGCTATATTTAATGTGTGTGTCTGTAACGTTTGTGTGAGTGTTAACACCTATTTTATCATCCTCATCCAGGCTAAATTTAATTATTAATCTATAGATTAAATGCCAAATAACTGACTTACTTGTGACTTTCCACTCAGTATGGACAACTTTTTCCCTCTATGATCCCTAAACTGTAAAAGTTACACTAGGACAGGGAGCTTAGATGCTCCTGCAGTGTTATTTTGGCTGCGATTCTTGTGGTTCACCTGTAATTATCAAGCATTCATCATTTCAACAGCACTGTGGTTCCCTTTTAATACTTAGTCTACCTTGTATTTGAACTTGAAAGGAAAAGAATGAATGAGCTTACTGTTAGAGAGTTGACTTGGCTGGGTCTATATAATTTATACCACCAACTCACGTACCTATCCAGTTGCAGGTGTGACAATCAGCAGCATTCATTGCGTTGCTTATGGTAAAGGAGTGATGGTGATATTCAGTGTCAAAGCCCTGGCTTTTAATGATTTAATGATTTGCATTCAGCCTGTGAAAACATGACTCTGACACTGAAGCTCTTCAGGATTCCTCTGCCAAGTCTGGAGCTATTGTTTATATTATGGTGCAATATCTTCCCCTAGAGCTGACAGCCGTGGCCTGAGGTCATTATCATTATGGCAAGATGACAGCGCCCCTCCACTAATTGCTTCCGTTTTGTTCTTCCCCCTGCAGTGCTGCTCGACTCCTCCTCATCGCTCCTCTTCTCGCTGCTATTGGCTCAGCTGCCTGTGTTCACGTCTGCCTCTCCAGTACCGCAGCGGCGGCCCAGTGACATGGATAAACTGTCCAATCAGACCAGAAATCTAATGAAGCTCACCCAAGAACTGCTGGTAAGTGAAGATGTCGTCATGGTGATTACCAGTCTCGGCTATTGATTGGCACAGAGGCTAATGAGGGGCCTGTCTATCCTATGCTAATTGAATTGATGGTGTGAGGGTGGGAGAGGATGCTGTTCTTCATTGATCTTCCCTCAACTGGACTTTGGTGAAAATGTTACCTTTAGTTTAGGTAACATCAGACATCAAAGAGCTCTTACTTTGCTCTGTGCACTGCTGTATACTAGGTTTGCTCAGGATTCAGTTTGACTTAAGCTGCTTTCAGACTGGCTGGAGTCCATATGCATGCTTAGATCAGGGCAGCAAAAGCTTCAGGGGAGATTTGACTGAGTGATCTCACTTTTAATCCACACTAGACTTGGAAGGGAGGGGGGATCTGACTCAGCAACCTCCTGGTCTGCCTGGTCACCTGACTGGTGGCAGTAGCAGGAAGATTGGTGGCCAGGCGGGTGCCAGCCCAATGAATGTACAATGACATTAATATCAAGTTTAATGGACTGAAGGAGAATAAACACACATGTGCAGTGATACAAATACATGATGTGGTTCAAGTGGATAAGGACATAAAACATAACGTTCTATGATCAGTTTAATATCTCCCATCAAGACAAATTTTGATCTAAATATGAACACTGTACCTGCATCCCACTAAAGCTGTCTAAAATGACAGCTAAGTATATCACATGCCTGTTTACATAGAAACATGTTTATGTTCTGCGGCTAGACTGTGGAAGTGAGGATGGAGTTAGAGGAGGTTTTTTCGCCTATGAAACGTGAATCACTTGCACCATACTGACAACTCTGGCCCCCGAAATCTTATTTTGTTGACAGCCAGTGGGTAGGAAAATCAGATTTGAGAACATAGCCAAGATTTGGCTCCAGCTGTGATTGTGTATCAACACAGTGTTTTAACAGGTGAAAGAAAGCGAGATCATATCTCTGGATCTTTGGTTACACATGACTGATCTAGAGTCTATTTTCGCATTATGCAAATCTTTAAACTCTTTTGTTCAGGGGATAAAATCAAAAATAGCCACATACTCTCTCTAGTCTTGACCAGTAGATAGTGTTCAGAAAGTGTGTGTCTGAGTGTGTTCGGTATCTATGTGTGGGTTTGTTGCTTTAAAACAATGTTACAGGCCATTGTGTAGCAGTAATCTAACCTGGGGTCCAGATGTGAATAAACCAACATCATCAAAGGGTTTTGGGGACAGTATTAGACACTGTTCAGTAAAATGGAAGATTTATTTTTAATTTTCTTTCCTTATTGTGTGGAATTCCACTAAAGAGAGGACAAAGTTAGGAAAGATAAATAGAATGGGAATCCATGGAAAGTCCCTGCAAAAAGCAGTGAAACTGATGCTTTAAAGGGAGAGAAATGTGTGTGTGTACACACATGTCTATATAAGTTTTCCAACGCGACTGTGTATGTGTGTGAGTGAGTCTGTGTGTTTGTATGCATGCACTATGGGTGCAAACGTGTGCATGCATTTGTGTGTAGGCATTTTTGTGGCTGTGTGTGTGTGTGTGCATTGAGGGTTCTGTAAATAGTCATGGTTGTGTAGGTGCGGTGTTTAGTGTTTTGCTTTCGGTCGCCACAGCAAAGTGACTTGATAAAAATCAAAAAGATTTATCACATTCCACTATTTGCATTCAGGAAGAAAAAGGCTGGATGCTAAGTTCTGTCGGGTGAGGTCATGATCTACGATGGAGAGAGCAAGAAAAGGAGGATAAGAGGGAGAATTAAAGGCTGAGAAAGATGGGAGCAAAAACCACAAGAGATGAAGAGATCAGAGAGCCAACTAGATGACAAGCCAGCGGTGTATGTGTGTGCATGCGTGCACATGTGCACGTGATGTTGCATGTGCTTGTGCACCTGGTATGAGACAGAGAGAGGGAGAGGAGAGGGGGAGAGAGAAGTGAGGGTAGGTAAGCTGGGGACTGAAGGGGACAAAAGCAACAGAGACAAAACATTGGACCACAAACATAAGTGAGTTCTTACGAAAGGCTGATGGAGAGACATGAGAGACAATGCGGCACATTCATCACCAAAAACAACAACACAAACAACTGGAGGCAAACAGTAGAGCAAGGAAAACGCTGCATAACAGGTTAAGGAAGCACAAAACCTGTTTACACAAAACATTTCTCAGCACTCATCAGCCTAATGTTGTTATGTTCCTCTAGTGATTGGAAATGACGCAAGCCATCAGTCATCTCCATTCATCCCCATTCATTACTGAATCAGGCGTACGTCTTTAATGCTAAATTGTACTACCGATGAGCACAGCTGCCTTTGTAAAGTAGAACTCCATAAATCTGCAGTCAGGTAGTTTACCCCCCTCTGGTGGCCATGATGAGCACTACATCTGCTGTCTGGACAAAGTTTACAACACAACTCTAGCTGGGCAGCGGCACTGCGTCATTCCATCTTTTTATAGCTGTGACCCTGGAGTTTCCCTACAGTCCTGTGTTGTCTGTCCCACTAGGAGCTTTCTTAGTCACTGCATATGTTGTTATCCTCGCTCCCTGTAGAAAACATCCTGTGGGTTCAGGTCATTTGCTCTTATTGTTGACATTTGGGGTGGCTGAATGTGGGTGAACTCACACTGACCCGATCAACCACAGTCCCCTCAGTGAGAGCTACTGTCTCAAAGCACAGAAAACAGTCATCCAATCGAGGTGCTGGACTAATACTTTCCTTGTGTTGCCGTGACTTGTCTCAGGATGAGTAAAATTGCGCTGATGCAAATTACTAATGGGCTGCTCTGT